TACTTGCAAGTCCGTATGGCGGAGGGGGACCGGGAAAAGACAGCGTTTAGGACCCAGAGCGGCCTATACCAGTTTACGGTGATGCCATTTGGGCCCTGCAACGCCCTGGCGACTTTTGAATGCCTGATGGAATGGGTGTTATAGGGGGTGCAGTGGCAAGTGGTAGTAGTGTACTTGGATGACGTCCTCGTCTGGGGGCGTACGTTCGAGGAGCACTTCCAGAGGTTGGCTACAGTGTTGGAGCGGTTCCAGAGCACGGGGCTGAGGTTCAAGCCCAAAAAGTGTAGCTTCTTCCGGACGGAGGTGTCTTTTTGGGTCACCTAGTGTCTGCCGAGGGGGTCAGAACCGACCCGACAAGGTCGCCGTCATTAGGAGTTGGCCGACACCTACAAACATGACGCAGGTCTGGAGCTTCCTGGGCCTCGCTTCCTACTATCGCCGCTTCATAGCCCACTTTGCAGAGATCGCCCGCCCATTTCATGGTCTCACCAACAAGAATCAGAAGGACTTCACCTGGACGGGAGGCCTTCGAACAGCTTCAGGACGCTTTGGCGACAGCCCCGGTGCTGAGGTACCCGCATCCCAAGTACCGGTACATCCTGGCGCCAGCAAGTGCACCATAGGGGCAGTCCTGTCCCAGGATGGCGGCTGGGGCGAGCAGGTGGTTGCTTACGGCACTGACGAAGTCTGAATGCAATTACTGCACTACCTGGAAAGAGCTACTGGCCGTGGTCCACTTTGTGTAATACTTCAAACATTACCTGCTGGAGCAGCAGTTTCTGCTTAGGACAGACAACGGGTCGCTGAGATGGTTGTTCAATTTTCGGGAGCCAGAAGGGCAGACGGCCCGTTGGTTGCAGACACCAGGGTGTTTCGATTTTGATATCGAGCACCGAGCTGGGTGCAAGCACCTCAATGCTGATGCAGTCTCCCGAGTCCCCTGTGGGCAATGTGGACGTTCAAAAGAGGCCGGGCAGGAGTGCTTCAAGGCAGGGACACCTCCCCCTGTGGCCGAGCCGGTGCCCACAGTGGGCGCCATTCAGAACGTGGACCAAAAGGATGCATCGGACTTGGACGAGCTCCCACGGGTCTGGAGACCTGGAGCTGGCCCAGGTTCGGAAGTGGCTGGAGCAAGGGTACCACAGGCCATAGTGGGGGGAAGTCTTGGCCCTCGATGCCAGCGCGAATTCATGGTGGGCCAGGTGGGAGACGCTTCTGCTACAACAGCAGGCCCTCCAGGTGAGGTGGGAGCTACCACCCAGCAGCCCCCCGACCTGGAGGGTTGCCGTTCCGCGGACCAGGATACGGGAGGTCCTGCGGCTAGCCCACAACCACCGTACTGCCGGGCACCTGGAGATCGCCCGGACCATCGCCAGGCTGCAACAGGCTCCCGTCTATTGGAGAGGAATGCAGCAGGCAGCCGAGGAATGGTGCCAAAAGTGCCACCTATGTGGGTCTCGGAAGCCCTCGCCGCGTCCAGGGAGGGCCCACCTGCAGCAGTATGTCTCCGGTGCACCCATGAAGCGAATCGCCAGAGATCTCACTGGAGGGCTGCCACGGACAAGATCAGGGAACTCGGCAATCATGGCGGTCGCCAACTTTTTTACCAAATGGGTCGAGGCTTTTGCCATCCCGGACCAGACAGCAGAAACGGTGGCCCAGACACTGGTGGAGAAGGTCATCACCTGTTTTGGCACGTCGTTGGAGATCCACACCGACCAGGGACGGGAGTTCGAGGCTGGCTTGCTCCAGGGGGTCTGCCGGCTCCTTGGCATCCAGAAGACGCGGACAATGCCATTCCATCCGCAGTCAGATGGACTGGTGGAACGCTTCAACCGGACGGTTAAGACCATGCTGAGCATATTCGTGGCTGAGAACCAGAACGACTGCGATGAACACCTGCCGTATGTCATGATGGCGTACCGTTCCTCCCAGCACGACAGCACCAAACTCACCAAACATGCTCATTCTTGGCTGTGAGGTGGGGCTTCTGTTGGACCTGGAGGTACACGAGTATGTGGAGGACGGACTGAGGACGAGGATCGAGCGTGCCCATGAGTTCACGCGGCGCCATCTCCAGCGCAGTCAACAGTATCAGAAGCGGCAATATGATCGGAGGACTCAGGGAGCTGAGTCTTCGAGCCCGGGAAGGTCGTCTGGCTCTACAGTCCAACCAAGAAGGTGGGCCGAGCACTGAAGCTGCAACGCCGCTGGGAAGGGCCGTTCGTGGTACTGGAGTGCATTAACGACGTCACCTATAGGATCCAGAAGTCACCTTGAGCCAAACCCCGGATTGCGCATTACAACCGGTTGAAGCCCTACCTCGGCAACGTCGACCTGGGATGTGGAGACGTGCAAGCATGGGGCATCCAGCGACTGAGGAGAACGGGGAGCCGCATCCACTCGGGCCCGCCCCCGGCCTGCCTCACAGTTGGCGGAGGAGGCACCAAAAGCACCCACGGAGATCGGGGAGCCGCGGCCCTTTGGTCCCGTCCCTGGTCCCCCTCACAGGCTGAGGAGGCGACGCAGGACCCCGCCGGGGGAACCACTGATTCCAGTGAATCGGACGGGACCCCCCTCGAGCACGGAGAAGTTGACAGTACGAACGCGGTGGGTGCACAGCATCAATCTGTGATACCAGATCCCACTCCCCTGACTCGAAGGGGGGCGCTGGGTGGTTTGACCAAGCCGATACTTGTTATCCCTAACCACTGATATCCCATTTTCTCTTCCCAACAGGATGGACTCTGTGACATGTCCCTACTGTTAACAGGCGTTCACCCAGCGACAGAGCTTGAGGCACCACTTGAGGACAGCTTGCTCGGTTCTACAGCCCACCCCTCCTTTCCAGTGTGAGAAGGACTGCGGGGTCAGCTTCTACAGGGAGGACACCCGTGGCCGGCACTACCACTTCTGCAAGGGGGTCGCGGTCAACACCATCCAGGTGGAGGATGTGGACATGCTGGACGTCCATGCCAGCAATACTAAGCTGGAAGGGGACCCAAGCTTCCGGGACGTTCGCCCTCGTCACCACACCTGGTCACGGAGGGAGACCTTCATACGCCTCACTCGCAACCGGAGCCGCCCGGGCGAGCACCTGCATAACGAGTGGAGACTGGAGCACCAATACCAATAGTTGTTGACGAGCTTGGACACCGCCTGACGAGAACCCGGATCACCAACACGTGTGAAGTGCCTTGGCGCGTGCTCACCACCTACGATGGGCAGCAGTACGGCCAATTCTTTGTCGATCCTTCCGTGGCCAACCAGCCGTCTCCAGGAGGGTTCCGGCCACCCAGGGCTCCCCCACCGCCACGCTACCCCAAGTGCGTCCCGGCCGGGTTCTGGGAGGCCCTTTCCCGGCAGACAGAGGTCCAGCACCAACTGCTGCCCCGTGCCCAACCCCGCCAGGGAGGTTCCGGAGCCGCCCGCCCACAGGGACCGCATCGCCAGTAGGGGAACATCGACACTACAGCTGCCCACCATCGCTTTCACCCTTTGTTTTCCCAGTAGTGGTTTTCCTTTGTTGTTCTAAACTCATTGTTCCAAACGTTTGCTTGCTTTTTTTTTCAGGTTGCTCTAAAATCATTGGAAGCCTTGATCGAACATTAAGGAAAGTTCAAAATTGTGTTTTTCATGGAAAGAGACCAAGGAAAAGTATTACACAAGAACACATTATTAATTTTTGTGCAGTTTCTGAAACATATTGTTATGAAACAAAACCAAACTGTTGGGAAAAATTGGTGGTCCTCAGTTTTCCAACTTTTCTGATTGATTATGATAACTATGAAACCTCATTATAAACCAAAGAAGATGACTAGAGTGATCTGAACATTAGAAATGAATAGTAGGCCTAAGACGCAGACTTGTAGACGCAGACTGTAGGTAATAGGAGACACGTTTTAAATCAGTGACTTCTTTTGTATAGAAACCTATTTCTGCAACTTCTTATGACCCTTGTAATATAGATGTTGATACCAAGAGGTATGACGGGGCAACGGACGAACGAAAGTAAACCCTGAGCCATACAAAAACGTGGATTCAGTTCATATAAAGAAGTCTTGCTGCGGCTATATGATAATATTGGGGACTTCATACACTTAAATATCTCCCCAGGGATGTCTGACAAGATTCTGGAGCAGAGAATGCTCCTCGCAGGTCACTATTACCAACACCCCGAACTGCCAGCAATCCAGATCACCTATTGGGAGCCCTTTCACGGCAAGCAACCCACAAGAAGCTAGCGAAGACAATGATCGGGTTCTGATGTAAATGTAAAAGTCGCAACCAAGGGAGAACTTATCAACTGTATGTTTGAATCAAGGTTGGCTAGCTTTTTACTACCGAGACAATATTAATGATATTTTACTGGAAAACGAAGCGTAGTTTTTGTAAATAAAAAGCTGAATGACTTTCAGAGCGGATGAGAAGAGGCTGCTGCATTGACGCAACACACTGACTACAAATTAAAAATCTCGTTTTGAAAATTTTCAATGTCAGAACTTGACTGAAACGGTCAATATTTTCTATGCAACTACGGCCGTTAACCACAATGCCTTATTAAATGCCAATAATGGAAGCCGTAGTCTAAATACCAGATTCGTACAGACCTTTACCCAGTGATGTCACAATCGTGTTGGACCTATGTGTTGTGATGGCAATGAGTGCATAGTGTTGTGATGGTAATCTACCCATTCCAAAAAAACTAGTCAGTAAGCACACAGCGTTCGCACGTGCGCTTGCATGTGGTTGAAACTGCCCATAGGAATATATGCGATCAACGTAGCCAAGGCGGTTAACACGTGGTGGTAATGTTTACATCTAGTGATGTGGGTGAAAAGGTCTATACGGTATGGCATCGAAAACGGAGGGCCGCGAACGGATATACCAAAAATCTGTTAAAAGAACGGGGTTACATCTTTGTCTTTCAGTAGGACAACATAACATCAAACACATTCACATTAAAACAACTGCTCATAGATATAAAGGGAGACATAAAGTAAATGCAGGTTGTTTTATTTCATTCCCCAGGCTTGTGATTTATATAATTTTTCACATCATAATACAGGGTTCTCAGTAAATGTTTGGAGGATTGTCATCTTTCTCTTCTGTTTTTTGTTTTTTGGAGTTCTTACCAGCGGTTTAAGAATTCTTTAAGAGTACTCAAGGCTATTGTAAGTGCTTTGCAATGTTCGATGTGAAAGCGATTTATGGACCTACTCTTAAAAATACACCCATTACATTACAGGTTCAAGCGGCCAGCAGTGGGTTAGGCATGTACATCACAGGAACACTTCTGCTGTATGATGGGATCAACATTGCTTAACACATTTAGCAAGATTGCCAATTTAATTCGCAACAGTTGTAAAATGAGGTATTACCATTTGTTGCGGAAGATTCGCTGTTTAAATTTGTTTGATAGTGTACTTTTTTGTCATACGGCCGTCTTCATTCATTGTTTCCATTCATCTTTCTGAATTGCAACCCTCTCAAATCTTGTCATATGATTCTGGTCTCCGGCATCCATGGTGTGTAGATACTTAGGGCTGCAAATAAAAGTAAGAAAGCATTTAATGTGTTAAATCAAGGATAGATCGAGTGTCCTTTAGTGTCCTTTAGTCGCATGTGTTATAAAATAATGACTCTTTCTTTCTTCCCGCAAAGGATTTGGATCTCGTCAGTTTAGTCGGCTTTCGTATCTTTATTTTGTTTACTACAAAAAATGGAAAGACCATTTACCATCCTCCTGAGAATATACTTGCAGATTTTTGCTTGACATATGTTGGGTATGTCTTGCTTCTTGAAAAAATCCACTGCACTTGGTATATAAAGGTATAGAAGAGGCTTCTGTTATCACTGAACCCAGTTTCTACAGTCTGTTTTCAAAACGGCACAATCAAATTCAGAGTTGAAGAGACGCAAGGATCTGTGTATTCTTTTTAGTTGTTCGTGTCCATCCATAACGTTCGAGTAATTAATTAAAAGCACAATATACCTTTACAAATGAATTTCGTTTTATTGTGATCTTATGCATTTACCAAATTAATTATTTTCGTTTTTCTCTTTATATGTCTCACATCCAATTTTAATCAAAGGTTGTAAATACGTTCTGAAAAACTTCTATGGCTCAAATATGTAGAGCTGATACAAAAATTTTGATATAGTCTTTTGAATGTCTAAAGGTCCTTTCGTGTTTTCTAAAGTTTGAACGATTTTATTTGTCGAGAGAATTTTCAATACTATAACTGAATGGTTCTTTTGGAACTCCTGCGGTTAAAGGCGGAGTATTAATTCTGTGCTGAAATTGGGCAAGGTGGGTGTTAAATTCAACGAGTGTTTACTATAATGGCCGTATACATGTATCCAGTATCACTTAACGCAACTTAACTTTTACCTGGACATAGAGCAACTTGTTGGGGGATCCTTGAGTGTCAGACACTACGTCGGGAGTCGCATTATTCACAATGGCATCATGCACAGTTTGTGGAGATGAACCTGGGTTTGATCCCAGATAAACAGCAGCGGCACCTGCAAAGGAATTTCAGAAACATGCTTTAAATGCCGCTGTTTAAAACATTGCTTTGGAAAACCAGGAAAGTGTTCCATACAATAGCTGTGCAATGTGTACAAAAATGTTGAAATAACTACTCTGGCTTTTCGGTTTGAAAGTTTAATTGTGTTTTCTTTCATCTCAATTGCAAGCATTTTGAAATCAGGAAAATTGGACCCTCTGAAAATCTTGAACGAGAGACTACAGTCTGAAGACCTTATACTCATAACGTAGATACTAACAATCTGGCCAATTGAACGAATTATATAAACATTTTATGGCAAATGTGTTGTTGGCATGCAAGCGAACCTCACCTGAGACATGAGGGCATGCCATTGAAGTTCCTGACATTATTACACTTCCAGTGTTATATGAGTGGCTTGCACTAACGATGTCCACACCGGGTGCGAAGAGGTCGACACAAGAGCCGTAGTTGGAGAAATAGGCACGTCTGTCGTATCTATTTGTGGCTCCAACGGTGATTGCCTATCAAGGAAAAGGCATTAGTCATGCGAATTACCTTTCCTCATTATAAAAATGAATAATCACCTTTAAAGTCACTGTAACTCCGACAAAGTGGAGATATATCATGTCTGGGTTTGTAGTCAATACAGCTAAATAGTTCAAATAACTACTAACAGCCGTGCGTATTTCTTAACTACTACCCTGTGTTTGTTTGTTTTTGTTTGTTGGGTTGTTTGTTGGGTTGTTGGGGTGTTTGTTGGGTTGTTTTTTTTGTTTGTTGGGGTCTTGGGGTTGTTTGTTGGGTTGTTTGTTTGTTTGTTTGTTGGGGTGTTGGGGTTTTGTTTGTTTGTTTGTTTGTTTGTTTGTTGCTTGGTTGGGGTGTTTGCTCGTTGTGGTTTTGTTTTTCTCGGTGATATAATATGTTGTGTTTATTCATTCCTGTTTTTCTGTCTGCTGTACTTTATGTTTTGTTGTGTTTTTGGCCTTTTTGTAGCACCAGGAGAGCAACTCCATAGTAATTAAGTTTGCTTTTTTGCAATCCAGCAGGGGTGTTACATGTGTTTTGTGTTTGTGTGGATGTGGTGTTGTTGCTTGTGCTGTTGTTTCTAAGTTTGTCTGTTACTGTATTTTGTGGGTTTTTTGTTTTGTTTTGTTTTGTTTTTTGGTGTAGATTCTTAACTAAGTATATATTTTTGAGCGTATATTTTGTATCTCTGAAATTTGTAAATTTGTTTTAATCATGAAAAATAAATAAATGAAACTGAAATGAAACTTAATGATGAAGCGTTTCACTGCTGTTAATCCCCCTGTCATGATGTCACCATGCTTTTTCTTTTATATATTAATTCACCACAAATCCATGTATCGCCATTTTTCACCAATCGTAATACTATACGCTCAAAAGAGTTTCGACAAAATGGCCTCGGCACTTCTGGACCGTACGACACAAAAACTCACCCCTGGCACTGATGGAGGCGATTCATCGCAGGCGTCTATGTTTGAATTACCCGCAGCAACAGAAACAGTGTCCCTCGTTGAGAATGTTCTGGATAAGTGAGTTGAAGTAGGGACTATACCCTGCTCCCACAGACATTGATACCACGCCCGTGCCGTTGCCGGAACCGAACTTGTCGACGATGTCTTCCAAACCTTCCAAAAGGAAACATGAATGGGAACTGTCACTTGGGAAGTAGGCAAAACCGCTGTTTAAGGAAAGCAGCGTGCCATTCATGTCCTTAGACACTAGACACGAACACGAGTATTGTTCTTTGTTGAAGAAAAGAGAACTGATGCTTTCAGTTCTTCTGAAAGCTTGACGCACACAAAAAAGTCCTTCCGGTATTTATTTATGGGGACAACTTTTCAAATGAGTTAGTTCCTTTCGACCGTCCTGTTTCCTCACACCCATTACGGAAGGTGGTGAATCCCCTGTGGATGGGGTGCTAAAAGTTTTCACCATCAAGGAATTGTCATTTGATAACCCCACCAGAGTTTTGTCCTGCACGTCGAAAAAATTCAACTATTAAGTATTCAGAAATGAACTAGTCACTTGTAGTGGAACAACTTTTGTAAAGTTAAAATGCAAGATTACACAAATGGTCATAAAGGAATAGCATATAGAATCATGAACGTGTAAATTAAAAAACACACACAAACGGCGTCTCCTCGTGTCGATCGACAGAAAAAAATTAAGATGTTTTCATTACCACTTCAGCTATGGTCTTACACCCAACCTTGCATTAGGAGCCGTTCCCCCGGCTGTNAGAATTAGCTCCATTTAATTTTTATCATGATAACATAAGATTTAGCCGGAATACCTTCCGCCGACTTCATTATCTGTTTTAAAACGCTTGGATTCATTTTTATTGTAATTACGGGCATTGTCAACATTTTTACCATTTACACCGCGCTTGGGTATGCCGGTCTGCCCAGTGTGCGTTACCGACCCTTCGACCACGTCTCGTCCTTTTTCTTTCCGTGGCCATCTCGGTGGAGACAGCGCAACATTTCGGGATCATTTCGGACAGTTTTCAGCCTGTTCCCTTGGAGTTGCTGGGCCCTGCAGACCACTGTAGGTCTCGCAACCCGTGGTGTCTGGGTGAGTCGGGGTTTGGGGGGTATTTGGCATATCCTAGCACCGGTATTTTGTAATTTCATCCATTATACATTGCCATTTATGGTCACTTATAAACGTTTGACATGTACATCGTGTTCGCGCGGTACCGTCACGTGGTCAGCGCATTTGCATAAAGCCCCCAAAGCCACCGTGAATAGAAATTTGGGTTGTGCGTTAGCTTAAATAGCATATTCGCTTCTATGTATTATGTGTGATATGTATAAGCAGTACGCACTCATGCCATTACAGAACGTCTATTTCGCGTACACCATTGCATTTGATGTCATTGTTGTTTAATTATTGCTCATGAATCAACTAAAGCACTTATGTAATTAATTAGAGTTCATGCTTTTGTATTAATTTATAGGGTTTTCTTTCCATTGACGAATAAATTAGAGGTGATTATTTGATGACCTGTGTTACAAGCTGATCCAATCCATCCCTTACCGGGAGACCAGTCTCCCCCCTCCGGATCGTCAGGGTCCGCCCCCAGCGGGCGCGCAAGTGCTGCCGCTACATTATTATTATTATCATCATTGGATATAACTAAAATGGAGGGAATCATATTCAAGATTTCCACAGCTGCTACGGAGAAAATCAGTACAACTGCCAAAAGGTACACTTGAATGGGCATGGGAATTTGCAGTTTACTCTGGAAATATGCACTGCAAGCCATTAAAACCATGCATGTTATTTGCACGTGCACATTACTGAAACAACTTTGTTTAATAAAAGGTGAGGTAAATATAATGATGTACACCACAAATCACACCTATTTTTCTTCTCTGATTTAACTCTTCATTAGTTGTTAGTTTGTATTTCATTTGATCCTTCTAAATGAATTACCACCATTTGACACTCGTGCTTTGCTTAGAGATTCCCCTGGTGGTTAATGAATGTAATAATCTCATTAAACCAAAATAACGTACCA